CAAAACCAAAAAAACAGTAGTTTCTCTAGCCACCTTTGTGGCATTACAGGTGTGGTATGGAATCCCTAATGAAAGGGTTCCCAAGTCTCCACTAAAATAGTGGGTAAGGTGGGGAGGGAGGGTGTGTGTAAATGAGAGCGTTGTAGTCATAAAAACAAATAAAATTGGTTAATAGTTAAATAGTTAGAAAAAGCACCAATATTGAGCGACCAACAACTGCAATGCAGCCACGTCCAACACAAATATACAGTGCAAAGTAAAATGTTAAAAGTTAAAAACACCGATATTGAGCGACCAACAAACTGCAATGCAGCCACGTCCAACACAATACACAGTGCAAAATAAAACAAAAGGAACTGAAGGGTTAATATATAATATAATATAAAGTTAAGCACCTTGAAACGAGGGAAACAGGTTTCTAGGGCAAATAGATCCATTAGCTATAACCGTAGCAAGATGCCTGCAGCATTGACACATGAAAGTAGTGAAAGGTCTTGGAAAAAAAAAAAGTAAATGATTACTTTCTCTAAAATACTTCAGATAGCCTCTGCAGCAGACCAATTAGCGAGCAAAAAAACTTGGAAACTCCTCAGCTAGTAGACAAAAATTCCTCTTCTCATGGATGTGGCCCACAAAAAGTAGCAAAAACAATTTTTTTGCTGCTCGCGCCATAGTTAATCGTCAGCATGATGACGTACAAAATGAGAGGAGTCTGGGGACGAACTTATCCCAGCTGAATGAAAACGAAAATGGATGAAAAAAGGGGGTTACTCTACTTAAAAATGACTTTTTTAAAAAATTAGATAAATAAATAAATAAACTGCCAACCAGAAAATATAATTATCTACAATGTTATTTCGTTCTTAAAACTTTGAAAGTAGCTAAAAAGCCAGTGGCTGTTCTAGTGGAAAATGGGAGGAGCATGGGAATGAATTTATCCCAGCTAAATGAAAAAGGAAATGGGCGGGAAAAAAAAAAGGGGGGGGGGGGTTAAACACTCTTTAAAAATTGTTATTAAAGAAGATAAATTGCTAACCACAAAATATGATGATCTATAATATTATTTCGTTCTTTAGAACATTGCGAGTAAGGAAAAAAACTTTTAGCTGTTCTAATTAAAGGAGGGTGTTAAAAGCTCGAGATTTGGGATTTTAAAGCAGGACGAGATTCGGGATTGAAAGTATGCGTGGGAGGTGGGATTCCCGAATAACCCTCGAGATTACGGGACTTCACGAAATTTCAGGTTCGGATTACGGGATTGAAGAACCCTATTGGAAACCCTCAGCGAAGAGTACTCCCTACTAAAAACCCTGGAGGAACCTTGACCTACCATACGTCAAAATCATCAAATTGACGAAACAATGCTGATCTTTTCATTCTTTCAGGGGTCTTACTCGATAAGGAAAAACTAGAGGCTTGACTAAAAAAAAAGAAGTTTCAGATTTGATTTGTTGCGATTACGTTTAAGCCCACTGCGGGAACTTGGTCACGTTCTTGGATCCTACATTGCAACGGCCGGCTGGATGGCAAGCCATCCAAAGCATTCGTTCCAATAACAAAGATTTGAGTGTTATAGAGCGAACTATTAAACTGTTTATTGATTATGGAAAATTTTACAAAAAGCAATATCAGCTGCCCGCAGTTAGCAGAGGCGAGCAAAAATTTGGCCGCCGAGTGCTGAAGTGATTTTCCTTCCAAAAAATTTTATTTTGAAATATTTTCAAAAACTAATGCGGTTTCAATTACTTTTGGACTAAGATATATTCATGGGCAAAGTTTAAAGAAAATTGATTTTCCGACCCGAAACGCAGTGGACCGGTTTTAGCCGGGAGACTCACTCTTAATTAACAATTGGTGGAGGATAAGAGGTGAAAATGTATATACTGTAAGGCGGTTTCCGTTTGAAATGCGTCTTTACGTCAAGGATAGCTTCTCCTCATTTTTCGTTGAATGTTGTGCCCTGGTATACAACTGTTTCTGAAAAGAATGTCTCATTTTCAGATATTTCGGCCGTGAATTTCATAGTAGGGTGATGTAAGTTTACTTGTTCCGCGAAGAAACGCGGCACAGTTGTCTGGTTTACTTATGTCCCATATAGGGAAAAAATGTCATTGTCATCTATGTAGCTTTTTCAAACAGTTAGTTAAAAGACGGTTTTTGCTTAATTAAACTTTGTGTTTCAATATATGCCATGAAAATGTTGGAAAGGAAACTGCTGTCTTTGTGCCCATCGCGGCGCCGTGGGTTTGTACTGAAAGTGCTTTCCATTAAACGGGAAATGTATTGATCATGGGTTATGTAACCTTTTCTTTGGGGTGATACATGGTATGCTGTTCTGTTGCTTTATTAGCGGTAGGCTATATATATTTGAGTTGTTCTCATTTATATTCATTCGCGTCTTACGACCGTCCCTACGCCCTCAAAATTATGTCTGATGTTGAAGACGTTACTCCCGCGAACACAGATTTTCCTAGCAACGACGTTTTGCTGCCTTCGCTTCCTAAACAACCTTTGTCTCAATCTCTCGAAGCTTCAGTACCAATCCAGTCTTCAGAATCCAGTGATATAGCGTCCGCGTTCTCTCTATTTAAGGATTATTTCGATATAAGACGTTGGGCGCCTTGAAGCGTGATATTCAAGACGAGTCGTGCAGTAATACCGATTCTGTGGCCAAAAAGCTTAAAGAAGAATCCAAGATCACGTTTCGATTCGAAGGTAATAAGAAACAGTTTCAATTCAACCCCGACCTTGCAGAGAAGGTGAAGTCGGCGTCAGTTGCTCTCGGGAAGAGAAAATTAGACCTTGTTAAAACTCACCTGGAAGAACTAGACTCTGACATCAAGAAGCGCAACAAACTTATCAGACTGGCAGACAAGTACGCCGCCGGTTGGGATTTGGTGAACGAGTATTTATCAGACGAGCTGGCTAGCGGGTCAGAGGACGAAAAGCGTATCCGCCGTGCCGAGCAGAGGGCCCTTCGTAAACGCAACCATCGCCAACAGAAAGCGAAGCCATCCAAGCAAGGTTATTCACAACTCCAATCATCTACCGCAACCACCGCGTTTGCTGGCCAACATTCATCATCCTCCAAACCTATTTCTCGTACTTTTGGCGCTTTCAGCAAACCAAGACCAAGTGATATTTGTCTCGCCTGCGGCCAGCAATGTCATTGGAGATCTCAGTGTCAAGTTAATCCTCAAGCCAGATCTTCAAGCTCGGGGCCGTTCTTTCCTAGTTCTTCTGGTCTTTCGGGCATTGGAGGTAAATAGGACCACAGAATTAAAAACTTGTTCTCCAAGGTTAGATATTAGCTTTACTCAATTTATTAGACATGTATCCTTCTTATTTGGAGTATTTCAGGGAAAGGGACTCTAGTTCATTAGTCGATTTCGATTATGATCGCAATCTAGCTATTTGAATTTGAACAGAATTCCGCATTGCCAGTACTTAAGGGTAGACTTAGGTCCTGTTTAAGTTATTGGCACACTATTGGTGCCAATAGTCTTGTTATCGATACTATTAAATTCGGTTATCGGATCTCATTCATTAGCACACCTTGTCAGGCGCGTTTTTCTAACAATCAGTCAGCTCTTAATAATGCGTCTTTCGTGGAGTCGGCTATCGCTGAGTTAGTCCACACTCACGCCGTCGTTGAGGTGCCCTTTATTCCACATGTCGTTAATCCGCTCTCTGTCTCGATACAGTCTTCAGGCAAGAAGAGGCTTATTCTGGACTTACGTCATGTCAATGATTTCGTTTGGAAACAGAAGTTTAGGTGTGAAGATTGGAGAGTTTTATTATCATATGTCAATAAGGGCGATTACCTTTTCAGTTTCGATCTCAAGTCTGGATATCACCATATCGATATTTTTCCGGATCACCAAACTTTTCTGGGTTTCTCCTGGGTTTTTTCTGGTACCGTTCGGTATTTTTGTTTTGCATCACTTCCGTTCGGTCTAAGCTCAGCCCCATACGTCTTTACCAAGTGTCTCAGACCACTCGTTAAGTTTTGGAGGTCTAACGGGATTAAAATTGTTGTGTTCCTCGACGATGGGTGCGGAAAAGGGGATTCACTGCCTATGGCCAAGGAAAATTCATTGTTTGTGCAATCATCCTTAAGCAGTGCGGGGTTTGTTGCCAACTCCGCCAAATCACTATGGAACCCCATTCAGGTGCTTGTTTGGTTGGGTTTAAACTGGGACTTAGTTATCGGTACCATTTCTATTACCGATAGACGTATTTGCAAATTTATCGCTCTGATTGACAAATTTCTTCTATCCGCACCTTATGTTACGGCTCGGGATTGTGCCGTTATCGCAGGTCATGTTATGTCCATGTCGCCAGTTTTGGGTAACCTGACTCGTCTCAAAACCCGTTTCCTTTACAAAGTCAGAGAATCCCGCCGTAGTTGGGATTCCCGTTTTAATATCGGGCTTCATAATGATTGCCTCTCTCAAATATTTTTCTGGAAAAACAATGTCGTTAGTCTTAATACGAGACCTATTTTGCCTTATAATGCTCTCCTTTTGTTTAGCTATTCGGACGCTAGCAACGTCGCCTGCGGGGCTTTTGTTGTGGGCACTAATGAGGTGTCCCATCGTATGTGGACTGCTTGCGAAGCAGCTAAGAGCTCTACCTGGAGAGAACTTAAGGCTATACAATTTGCCTTAAGTGCGTTCAAAGCCTTGGTTCGGGGTAAGTGTGTAAAGTGGCATTCTGACAGCCAAGGGGCCGTTCGTGTTGTGGAGATAGGGTGTCCTAGTGCAGAATTGCATTCTATTGCGCTTGATATTTTCTATTTTTGTCGAACTTACAATACTTACACTTATTCCCCAGTGGGTTCCCAGGGAACTTAATGCTTGTGCTGATGCGATTAGCCACATTGTAGACTTCGATGACTGGTATACAACCCCCGAGTTCTTCGCACACTTGGACCGCCTTTGGGGCCCACATACAGTCGACAGGTTTGCGAATACTGCCAACGCCCATCTTCCCAGATTCAATTCTAGGTTTCGCGTACCCGGCACTGAAGCTGTTGACGCATTTTCAATCTCGTGGAATGGAAAGAATAATTGGCTAGTCCCTCCCGTCCACTGCATTACTAGGGCGGTTCAGCATCTCCTTGTATGCGGTGCGGTTGGTACTTTAGTCGTCCCTTATTGGCCGTCTAATGTGTTTTGGCCTTTCTTCTTCGCAAATGCAATTCAATTTCAACCGTACGTCCTTGAGTACATTCATTTTCCCGACTCCTCAGGGGTTTTTGCCCTCGGGTGTTACAAAGATTCACTCATTGGTTCAGACAGGTTTAACAGCACGGTGCTGGCAGTCAGAATTGGCGCTAAGGGGCCTTAGTTTTTTCAAGCCGAGTGGCTTTATGTTGGCCCACGTGTTTTTTATTCCGCTCGTCGGTTCATTTGTCCTCGTTTCGCATGAAACTAGCTCGCCGAGTGGCTTGTTTACCGTGGTTTTTGAGTTGGCCCATTCGGCCTTAAATAGTTTTGCATCCGGTCAGGGGCATTACCAAGCGTCCATTTTTTATTGCTGTATTGACTCCCAGTGCGTGTATTGAGGAATTTTGCCATATATTTTTGTTCTTATCCTCGTAGAAGTTCTCAAAGTGCCTTGCAGCCTAATTTTCAACAGGTTGAAGACGGGCGACTCCGGGCACTGGTTCAAGATCTCCCCGCAGTTCTTCTTAAATCCAAAGCCGACAGTACCGCGAGGAAGTACGAAAAGGGCTTCAATACGTGGAGAAAATGGGCTTCTCAGTTTAAAGAAATTGTTATATTTCCCGCTTCTAGTGTGCACGTTTCATTGTTCTTTCTTAGCTTGATTCAAGAATCTGCCTCTTGCAGCACTATTGACGAAGTCCATTATGGGCTCAAGTGGGTGCAGGATTTGGCAGGTCTACCCGACCCCTGTAATTTCTCGTTAGTTTTACCTTTAATAGAATCTGCTAAGAGGCTTCTCAGTATCCCTGTTAAAAAGAAAGAGCCTGTGACCCCCGAGGCTATTCAGCTTTTATTTTCTAAGTATGGATCGTCTTCAGCTAGTTTGTCTGATTTACGAGTGCTTACTTTGTGCGTTTTAGGTTATGCAGGGTTTTTTCGCTTTAACGAGTTGGTTCAGTTACGCAGGTGTGATTTTCAGTTTGAAGATTCTTTTATGAGAATCTTTGTTCATCGAAGTAAGACTGACGTTTACAGGGATGGGGCTTGGGTTGTTATCGCTAAAACTTTCAAGCATACATGTCCTTATTTATTAGTTCAACGCTATTTTGTGGCCACTTCTTTTTCAGCAGACAGCGAAGAGTTCATGTTTCGCCCTCTTGTTTTTCTTCGCAGTACCGGAGCTTATAAATTGCGCGGGTCTGTTCCTTTGTCTTATACTAGAGCGCGGGAGATAGTGCTTAGCGCTTTCGATTCCATCGGCCTTCCCAAGCAAGACTACGGTCTCCATAGCCTTAGGGCCGGAGGTGCCTCCGCTGCTGCTAATGCTCGAGCGCCTGACAGATTGTTTAAAAGACACGGCCGTTGGAAATCAGACAAGGCAAAAGACGGTTACATTAAGGATAGTGTTCATTCATTGTTGTCGGTTTCGTTATCACTGGGTATTTAATTTTCCGTATTTCCCGTTCTTTTAGTTCGCACACAGCTCGTGTTGACACACCCCAATTGAGGTTGCTTGTTACATGATAAATGTTTTATATTCGTTTGAGCGGGGTAGCGAATTAGAATATAAATGTATTTATCATGGGTTATGTAACCTTTTCTTTGGGGTGTTACATGGTATGCTGTTCTGTTGCTTCATTAGCGGTAGGCTATATATATTTGAGTTGCTCTCATTTATATTCATTCGCGTCTTACGACCGTCCCTACGCCCTCAAAATTAAATACCCAGTGATCAGGGGTTTCTCTTAGACGTAGTTTTTTGCATGCTGCTGTATGAAAGGTTTAGCACGTTTTGTATGTTTACTGAATGATTGTTATACGAGCATAGTTTAGATCTTTTTGTTGGGTTGTTTTTCTTGCTGTAATTTTTTACATTTCCGAGTTTTCATTCTGTTTGTTGTATTATTTCCATCCATTCTGTTGACGAAGGCATAATAAAGAGGGTCGCACACAGCTCGTGTTGACACACCCCAAATGAGGTTGCTTGTTACATGATAAATGTGTTATATTCGTTGGAGCGGGGTAGCGAATTAGAATATAAAGAATTTTCTTTGAGGATTGTAGGGATTTTTGAAGGGACTGGTTCACGATAATGCGCATGCGCGCCGTTTGTCTCTTCAGAATAAATTTGTCGGGTCAGTACTAAATTCGAAATCGCCATTACCGGTAAAATCATTGAAAGTCCTTCGTTTTATTCGGACATCCGTCGCTTTGGCTGGTCTAGTTATACTTCCGTAGTGGTGATTAACGTGTAGTTGTGTCGTTTGACTGGTTACGTTTTAAGAAGACGCAAAAAATAATGTTTTGATCATGGAGGTTCAGAAGAGCATCGTGGCCGTCCGGCAACAGGACGTTCTCAAGAGTCTTTGGAGATAGAGAAGCTTAGCCTATCGATCTGGTATGGTTCTAGGAGTAGTGTGTGGCTTACGAAAAGAATACACGACACTTGGAAAGTGGTTAAGGGCATGAGTTCGTTCAACTTTGAATTGATATATGACTCCGACCTGTAGTTATACCGCAACAGGCCGCGCGATCTTCACCGATCTGGTACACTTGAAATGTTCCTTGTATCTTTGCTTTACGATCGTATATGCTTAAGAATTGATGTTTTTAAAATAAATTATTGCCTGAATATTCTGTTTATAATCTAGTTTCTTTATGTGCGCTACTCGATAACATTTGTTTTGCGGAACACTGACCCGATGCAACGCGAATGAATTTGTTAATTTGCTGATAAGAAATTGAAATTTATGCTCAGTGAAGGATAATCTTTATGCTCGTACGTTGTGTGTTTTTGTCACCGGTCAGGCGCTATTTGTAGGTATTTCTGGGTTAATATAAGGCGAACTGAGAGAACAGTAATAAGATGTTTGTTTACAAATTTTGTTTGCCGATCGGTGACTGTTTTGTTAGCGTGGGTACGACCTCGTAAAAATACACGTTGGTAAATGTTTGTTTCAAAGCAGGACAGGACTGTGAATCTTATTCTTATCGGCTGCAACATATATCTGAGGAGTAGCAACGAATAAACTTGAATTATGGGGATAAATAAAATCAAACCAAATGCCCGGAAGTACTCTCGCGTCGCGAACAATTAATTTGCAAAATGCTCTTTTTTCTGGAAACAGATATTGACAATATCAGCCCATGTCTGTAGTCGGTTATATTTTTCCTGTCGGTAGTCGGTAATTTTTAAATCATTTTGTCGGTAGTTAGTAATAGTTTTCGCCCTTTGTCGCGAGTGGGTTAACCCCATTCATATATTTTTTTTACAGTGGATCTAAACCTGGATATTACGAAGGGTAAGGGAACTTGCGAAAATTGGTTCGTAATATGGAGGTCTCGTTAGATCGAGGTTCTTTTCCGTATATTTTCCTATTATCGGGTAAAGAAAATCGTTCGTTATACCGAGGTTTTCGTTATATAGAGGTTCGTTATTATATCTAGGTTCCACTGTATTTATTAGTTAAATACGTATGTTAATTTGGTTCATATAATTCATAATTCTGGTACTTTTTACGTTCAGTTTTGGAGAAAGAGATAAAATTAACCCTATTCCGAACCAGGCTAGATTATAATGATTTACAGTGTAGGTAACCTGAGATCAGGCCCAATTTGAGCGGTTCTCATACATTCTCTCTAACGGCTACCGCTTTAGTTTCGCTATGCCCGCCGGAATGTTATTTACAAAGCGAAACGAAAATAGAGCCTGACCTTCTTTTAATACGTAATTGGTGTTTCAACAATTTTCTACTTTTAAATCCTGACAAAACAAAACTCGTAGTCTTTGGAAGCCGACAACTACTTGCCAAACTCCCCGACTTCAAAATATCTCTTCTAGGAAAAGATCTCGCTCTTACATCTTCGGCCAAAGATCTTGGGGTTGTTTTAGATCCGCAGCTAACGTTTGATGACCATGTTCTAAAAACTACGTCATCTTGTATGTCAAGCCTCGCACAAATCAGTCGGGTTAAACATGTTTTTGACCGTAACCAACTGGTGACAGTAATAAATGCACTAGTCTTTAGCAAATTACTGTACTGTTCCACAGCATGGTCGAACACCTCGAACAAAAATATCTGTAGACTACAGTCAGTGCAGAACTTTGCCGCGCGCATTATTACAGGTACCAGGAAATTTGATCATATAACCCCCGCACTAAGAGATCTACGTTGGTTTCCAATTAAACAAAAGCTGTTCTTCCGCGACGCTCTCATGGCATTTAAATGCATGAGTGGTCAAGCTCCACATTTCCTGAGCGACCAATTTACAACAAGAATTGCGGTTACCGGGCGCGTGACTCGAAGTTGCCAATTATTAAACATCCCCTTGAATAAGTCGAGTACCGGACAGAAAACATTCCACTACCGCATGGTGCACATTTGGAACAATCTAGACAGTGCTCTTAAAACTGCAAAATCGATTTCTACTTTTAAATTTTGTCTGAAAAATAAGTTGATTACTGACTTTTTAAATAGCACGTTATGATAGTATTTTAGTATCTTACTAGTATCTTATTTTATTTTAACTTAAAATATGCATATTGTATAGTACGTAGTGAGAATATTCATTATACGATTAATTCTTAAATAGGTATGTTTATATTGCTTTGTTCACCGCATTCTTTCTTTTTAATCGAATTGTTAACGACTTCTCTTATCTTAAGTAGTTTTTTTTTTTTTTTAGTCGCATTGTCACTGAAAAGTCCCACCAGGGGAGTGTCAATAAACTATTGTATTGTATTGTATCTCAGGTTACAGTGTAAGTACGTAGTGTCTGAAAATAAAGCTAGTTAAGTAGGATTTCAGAATGAGCTTCCCTGCTAGCAGAGGTCTCTCACGACGAGGCAAAAATGAGTCGTGAGAGACCTCTGCTAGCAGGGAAAGAATGAGGTAATTGTTTCGACATTCCAGTTTCCCACTCGTTCCTACCACGAAGAAAAAATGTTATTGCTTCCTTTTTTTATCTTCGTTTCGGATTGCAAAAAAAATACTTAAGTTTTGTTTGCGTGAGGCACCGCATTCTCTGCGACTCAAAAATTCTTGTGGTATGGCCTGTGTGACTCTGGCACGGTTTTCCTCACAGGTTCAATGTCCAGCTTTGTGATGGGTTTTAAAGCTTTGTCTCGATTTTCTGAGAACATACCTTTATTTAAAACGAATTTTCCTAATGCGATTACAAATTTAAAGTACGGTGGCTTTAAAGCTAATTTAAACAACTTAAGGGGCGGGCTGAGTAATTCCTGGCTAGTTCCTTTTGTTCCTAATGCTATCACAGGAGCATGATAATATTTGTATCCCTAAAGAAATTTCGTCGTTTATGGATTCATCTAAAAAAACAACTGACAAACAAACAAAATATGGCGGAGTTATTGACAACTGCGACTGCTATCACTGTGAGAAGCGAGAGGAATGCTGCAAACACAAAAATCACAGAACTTGGAAAACTATTACTATGCTAACAAGTGTTCAAACTCCACAATTGCAATCGGTTTTCAGTCCTCTTCAAATTTGTTTTCCTGTGTTATTTATACCTTATTTATAGCATGTAAAAAAATACCCTAAAAAATTTGACGCCTTGAAAAAATCTCCAGCGGTTTTAAAGTTAATTTAAACATTGTAAGGGGCTAAGTAATTGCTGGCTAGTTCCTGAGGGTCTGAATGGGGTTAACCGATGGGCGTAAAACGGCCAAAAATTTAGTTCATAGCCGTAAAAATTGAAAAATTTTAACCGTTAGCCGTAAATAGGGTAAAAGAGAGTTAACCGTAAAAGAAATTGTTCCCTAGCCTAGATTTGTTAAATTTAAGGAAGGTGCTAAACTCGCTTATGGTTGCGTTTTTATATTTCCAGGCTACTTTTGACTCCGTACGCGCGTTAGGCCAAGCGCCTTTTAGGTGTTGACCTAGACCTATTTAGGTGTTGACCTCCATTTCCGCCGTTCTCTCGAATAATCAAGTTTTTTCCATAGCAAAAATCTGGTTTCTTGCTGAGGATTAATATTTGTGATTTTCAGGGGGTTATGCCCTCGGAATACTGCTGAAACAACACGCAGAGATCTCACTGTTTGTAAAACACGTTGCCGATAAACAACAATTCCCTGTTTTTCTCTGCCGCTACGGTAGACATTGCCATGCCTATTCCCTGTACGGCATCTTCCCACGCAATCCCGGTCAAGGCATTTCGGTGGCGTATCTAAGAAAAAAAAACACTCGCTCGGACCACGTGACCCGAAACGCATGAGCCGCGCGGAATAATGAGGCCTATGGACAAGGCAACGGCAGAGAGTTGTTGTGTACAGTCCTTCGCTACTCGACACGGGAATTTTGTTACTGGCGGTTTTAACACTAGAGCTAGAAATGGATTATCCGTTTGAGACTAGCCTGTGTACAGTCGCCCCCTCCTCCACAGACACCCTTCTCCGATTTTTTCTGAGGGGAAGGGGCGGAT